GTATACATAGTAGGCATTTTCATATAAGGTAAAAATTCAATTTAAACAAACGATTTTCTATAAGTGTATAATAAAACTTTTAGTCTTTATATTTACCAAACATTTCATCTATTCAAATGGCAACTACTACTCAATCTACTAACCAACTATCTTCAGAGGTCGAAACCTCTCTTCCAACATGGCAAGATATCGAAAAATCAATGATTGATATATTGAGAGCAGGTAACTTTTATAACAAGGACAGAAATAAAGGATTCATGGATTATTATAAAAAGCAACTCGATGAATTGCGTAAATCAGAAGATAAAGAGCAATATGTTATAATCAAAGCCAGATCTCTTCTTCCCAATGAAGAGATATACGACACAAAAATAAAAGCATTCTCCAATTCTTATTATAAAAGTGAACCAAAAATCAGTCAAGCTATTTTAAACTATCTCAAATTAATTCACAATATCGCTAAAGAGTATTTTATTACAGATGAGGAAAGAGAAGAAGAATTTCAAGCATGGCTTAATTCTTGAGTATCCTCTGAGGGGGGTATTCCACATTCTTGACAACCATCAATTCTTCTCGAACAAAGGATCGTATTGGACCATTTCCATCAATATCTTCAATCCAGTACAAGACCGGTTGATTTTTTTGTACCAAAGATTCCTTGATACGATAAATTTGAGGACTCCAATTACAATCAGTTGCACGACGACTACCTCCCTCCAATTCACCATCTTTAAGTAAATATCTGAGTGAGTCATTGTGTGTTAAACGAATTTCATCATAGCCAATAGGACCATTGCGAGGCTTAGAGGGTTTAGCATAAACATATTCTTTTTTTATCGCCTCAGCAGGAGACATACCAATTAAGCGAGTTGGGGTATTATCAAGTTTTTCAAGAAAAATTAGTAAATTTTTTACCCAATCCCGACAGCGTTCAGTCGGAGGTAATAATAATTCAACAGCATCTTGTATTCGAAAAGCCCACTTTTGTAAGGTTTTGTTAAATCATTCGACAATACCCATGTTTTCTTTAGAGTTAGCTAGCTGAATTTTGATATTATGCTTATCCATCAATTTTATGACGTCTTTCTTAAATTCAGAGCCTTTGTCAACCATTAACTCTTTTTTAGGCCACGAAAGTGGGCACTTTCGAGAATTAAAAAGTTTTTCCAATCCTTTAGCCACACTAGCAGAATCCCGGTCAGTCAGAGGATAGGTCCATTTTGTGCGAGATGCTACATCTACACAATTAAGTGCAAATTTATAGACTTTTCCTCGAAATTTATCGTGTGGCATATAGCATAAATTAACCTGTATAACTTCCATCGGAACGGTAATATTATTAAAACTCGCGCAGGGAATAAATTTCGGTCGTGGTCTATGAATTTGATGTAGTGCCTGTTTGTCTAACCATTCATTTATTTCGGATAAAGTAAAATCGAACCCGGCTTGCTTTGATGCTTCAAAAAGGTTCCTAGCAGTTCTTTGATATCCAGAAGGTTGGTAATATATTTTTTGTAACGCGATTGATATCTCTAGTTTCCTTACTTTTCCAGAATCGATGTAGATCAAAGGTTGAGACATTTTTTTTTCTTTCAAATTATAAAATGGAAAGAAATAATCTGTTGGACCCGGCATTTGTGCAACTTGCTCAATCGAACATCGAATTACGGGAGGAGTTAAATCGCGAGGTAAACATAAACCGTACAAATGAGAGAAAAATTCGTAAGCTTATACGGGACTTAGAAAAATGCGAGGGAGAGTTAATACGCCGTAGTACCACTATCCTTGATCAGGAAGACGAAATTCAAACCCTTAAAAGCCAAATATTAAATTTACGAAAACAATTGAGATCGGCTCTCAAGGAAATCAAGTCAAACGAGACCGTTATTGATTCCAAAAATAACCAGATAGCCGGGTATGAAGAGGATATTTTAAGGCTTAAGGCAAGAATCAGACACCTAAAGGCGCCCTGCACCACAGAAGAATTAATATCTCACAAAAAAATATCGTCTAATCAAATAGAAATGGCCAATCCTACTTCACCGAGGATGGGTGATACCACGTTTAGTTCCGTCAGCCAATCAATTAGAAATAAATTAGGCAGAAATCACGCGGTTGAACATGCGTTAGATGAATTAACTCGATTTTATAATCAATCTCAACTTGAGTTAGCGTCAGAAAGAGAAAATACTCGAATCGCTATCGATGATGCTATGAGCTGGCAAAATGCCACCGTATATATATTGAACGATGTGGAGAAAAACCATAAAGGCGAAAAATTAATGCACTTGTTCTGGCGAGTCTACTATGAGATAAATACAGCCCGGTTATTATCAGAAATTTTCGCTCTCAAGCTTTTATGCAATAGATACAAGAATAAAGCCCAACCGCGTGCTGTCCTATATGGAAAATACACGAAGTGGAAAAATAGAACGAGGGCTAAGCATGCTAAATATACAAAATGGAAATTGAGAACAAAATTAGTTCGTGATGCTAATTTGGAATTGGAAGACCGAATTAATTTTTTAAAAGAGAGAATTTTAGATTTACAGAATAATATACAAAATATGGCTGGCATACAAGATGTTACAACAGCATTAGCACCTTTGATGGCGCAAATTCCCATGTATACTGGGCAAGAACCTCCACAAGAATACTTCAACAAAGTTATGCAGGTATTTCAATATGGTGAAACATTAGGTGTTGGAGGATTTAATGATGCGGTAAAAACACAAATGTTATCATCAAGATTAGCTGAAAGATTCATACCACCCAATCCATTTAATAATCGAGCAGGAAATCCAGTCATTACACCAGCACTTTTTCTTGATTGGTTAGAGGATAAATATCGTGAAGTAATGATAGGAACTAGTCAGGCATCTATGAAAGCACTTATAAATGAAAAATTTTCTCCATTTGATACACCAGATAGTTATAAGCAAAGAATTCGTACATTTACACATTCTATTGCAGATGCTGATTGTTTACCTATACTTTATAATCACTTACCGGAAAATTTAGAGCTCAGGGTTAGAATGACAAATCCTGCAACTAAAGACGCTTTCTTTACAAAATCTCAGAAATTGTTGGTTAGAATCAAATGGAAGTAGGAGTAATATTCAACCATCAAATATTGACATCCCGACTCCTCAAATTCAACCATCTAATATTACTATCCCGACTCCTCAAATTACATATTACCAACAACCCAAACCTCAACCCCAACCCCAGGAAAAAAGGGCATTGGATAAATTAGAAAGTATTGCCGAGAGATTGGGATATTCTGATGATGCATCTCGAAATCCTGACGCTTTAGAAAGTTTTATTGAAGATGAATTATATGCAAGATTAGGGCGTGAATATTATAATACTAGGAAAGTACCTTTTGGACAAAATAATAACACCAGAGGTGCTAAAAAAGTATATGCTACAAATACAAAGAAGAAGCCAACTAAAGTTACTTACAAATGCTCAAATTGCGGGAAAATAGGGCATAGAAAAAATAACTGCCCTCCACCTCGAAAAGCTAAACTATCTAAAAAGGTTAACTATATTTATAGTAATCAACCTGAACCCGAAAATCATGATCAAGAAGATGAAGTTGTTGAAGTATTGGAAGACGAAGATGAGGAAAATGACGTGGAGAGTGAAGATGAGGAAACCATCTCAGATAGCGAACCACAAAATTGCTTTAATGTAAAAAAAAAAGTCGGATTCCTGTGAAGAAGAAGTCTACTACTGAGAAAAAGAAGTCCATTGATACTTTGGAACGGGAAGTATTTCTTGAATCTCTTAAATATATGATATCCGAATTAATGCCCCATATTCCCAAGGACGTTCTCATTGAAGCTCGTACATTTCTTAATAATCTGTTTACAAAAATGAAGGGCCAGTTTGATTCCTATTATGCTGAAAAGTATACAGTTAAAGAACGAAATAAGGTATGGGGGAATATTGCGAAAAATTATCAAATTATCTTCCAGTCATTTATCGAAATTATTAATAGACTGAGTTCAGACTCTCCAGAAAAACTTGACAATACCATTACCTTAAACCACGCCATTAAACTATATCAAGGAGCGCAAATAAGACGAAATTGGCCTAACCCCTTTGAGATTGATTTTCTCGATATAAGAGAACCTAATGATGTAGCGACAATTTCTTGTAGAATAGGCGACTTAATAATACCTCACGCAATTCTAGATACCGGTGCAGATGATTCATTATTTACTGATAACATTCCGAGGTATTTAGGAGAAAAAATAGATCAGAAAAATGTTCATAAACTTACTGGTGCAGTTGGAGATTCCCAGTCTATCGGTACGTCATATAATATTCCTATAACTATAGGTACTGAGGAAGATTCTATAACAGTTTCTGAAAAAGAAATATCCGTAATCCCTACTAAAAAAGATCGAGATGGAAATGATATATCTATAATGATACTTGGTACTAAATGGCAACATCGTGTCGGATGGGAACCTATAGTAAAAGGAGAATTTATAGCTACACACAATGGGAAGACTATTAAAATTCCTCTTTACACTCGAAAAGAAAAGTATAGTCACAATGTATCTGTATCTGAAAATATTTTCAAGAAGCGAAGCTTCGAGTCTCCGACTCATACAGAACAATGGAATGCTCCAAAAGACTTCAAACTTCCCGATTCATTCGATACTACAATAGCTGAGCAAATACCAGAAGAGCAAAAAAAAAATTAGATGATCGTACATGCCAGTATTGTGATAGGCCATTCAAGTATCCTTGTAAACTTCGTGAACATTTAAAAAGAAATAATATGTGTTCACAGAAAATTACTAACTGCTCACAAAAATTTACTGACTGCTCACGAAAAAATACTGACTGCCCACGAAAATTTACTGACTGCTCACGAAAAATTACTGACTGTCCACAAGATATTATCAGAGCTAGTATAGCCGAAGGCTCAAAGAACCATGATTCGAAGAATCGCCTAACGGCACGTCGAGTCAACGAAGGGTCGACAAAAGTTAATAACGAGTCAATGATAAGACTATTGACGGAAAAAAATACCGTCCCTATATACTTATCACTTGCATAAACATTGAACTATTCTACTACTTCGGGGATGTTGTGATATTCGACGTTTCATTTTTTTTTTCTGGCAAAAGATATAGTATATAATCTTATATTAAAGATCCAGTAATATATAAAATGGCTGAATTACGTGATAAATTATCTCAATATATAGGTTTTGAGCCTGAAGAGATCCGTCTCCCGATCACAGAAGAAGATAGACAACTTTTTCAAAAATTAATAGCAGATCAAGAGGAGATGATTGATATTGTAATGGATGAGTATCGATTTTTGCTTCATCATGGACATAACTACAAAGGCGGGAAATTGATCCATATAATGTGGGTATATATTTGTACTGAAAAGGATGCGGAAAAAGTATTGATAGAGGTACCTCCATCGAAGATATTATCCCGCCTTCTCCTGATAAATCACTCGAAGCCGGATGTATATAGTCAGCAGGTAATTGTCAACAGACAGATAAGCTATTTTTCTTTTTCCGAACTGGGGAGGAAAAAGGCCCATATTGAAAGAAGATTTAAGGGTTTACCACTCGCACCAGTTATAATAGTTGATTAGAGCATCCACAATAGAAAAAATAATTGAGCATGAGAAATAATCGTTGATAATCGATAAGTTGAGTATTTACAGCAATCACCCAATCAAGATTGATAAGGGCGGAGCCCATTGCTTCGCAATAATGCGTCGTTCTATATCTGGGGTAATCGTTGCACGATCTATTTCGGGTATGAAATCTATTTCTGGGATAATCAATGCATGATCTATTTTCGGGGTTAATGTCTATTTCAGATGTATAATTTAATTTTTCGATATGCGACTATACGTATAAGTATATAACGACTAGTCCCCCGATCATGTGCCCAATCAGAAACAATAATCGCATTAACAAAGTATATCGATAAATGATATGATAATTCGGCTTTATTGAAATAACATACAAGACAGAAATCTATATATAATAAAATACCCAGGATAATTATTAATTATCTTCTTTATCGGAAGATACTGTTGAACTCCCAGTTGGACGTATGGGAATTTTAACCGAATATAAATGATAAAGTCGGTGTATATCATCCATGTCTTTGATAATAATATTGAAATGAAACATATCCCCAGCTATTTGTACCCCGGCAATACCAAACTCATTTTTATTGGGCCTGGATCCACTATAAACCCAATAAAGCCCATCGTTCATCTCCCGCCATAGCTTTACTTCATCATCATCTTTTTTTTGTTGAAGACATATTAACTGGGAGGATTCTACAAATATAAGTTCGTATAACTTACCTTTACGTTCTTCTATAAACATTATATCAGGTCGTTTACCCTGTTTTCCCTCCCCTTTTCTATCGGCACTAGCTTGGCTTTGACGTTCCGCTCTAAATTAAAAAATGAATTACGAAGCTAGAAAGGTACTATGAAAGCAGTATATATACTAAGAAAAATCTTACGTGCTAAGAAAGGCGGTATTTCTTATTGGGAGTTTTTTTAATGATACTCGGAGTAAAGGAACGATCACATCCGTCACATAAGTTCCTTCGCTTTGCGCTTTTGCAAACTTCGGATCGAATGCAGAGTTTCTCCAGATATCGCTTAAAGATTCTAAAATCTCAGTAGAGATGTCCGCCAATTTCTCTTTTGTTTCTCTCCAAGTATGGTTATGTGAATATTTTGGCGGAGGGATTTCGATCTCATCTTTATAAAAGTCTTCTACAAATGCATTACTCATCTCTCTGATATTGGGCGGTGCTTCCATTTTCATCCGTCGCGATGGCTCCATGAAATTATGGTAAATATTCCCGGGCAAATTTCGCACAAAAGATGATTCGTCGCTAATTACTTGGCTGGCAAATGGATCTTGCCATCTTAGACTATCGACATCCACGTAATCTAAAAAATTATAAAGTTCCACGAGGAATGGAGACGATTTCCCCTAAAATACAAATATATTTATCTTTAGAAAGCCAATTTTATTAGAATATCGATAGTCATTTTACATACCCTAAGTTTCCCTTTCAATTCTCTCATATTTTTCTTGATTTGTTCCTTACTAATTTCCTCAATTTCTTTCGCTGTTTCGATATCACGAAGGCTACATACACCTTCAAAGGCAATATCAAACTGGCGCATAAAAATATTATATTAGTTTCTTATCAATCCATTCGCATTATAAAAATCACGAGCTCGTGTCATCAGAGATGTATACAAAGTTGCTTTCTCTGCGTGGCCTACACATTAAAAACAACTCCGGTCTCTACATATAAATTTTTAAAACTTGCAAGACAAAGCCAGAGTACCCCCATGCGTTGGTGAAGTTGAATTCAGTACTAGCAGGCATCGAGTACCCAGAGTAACCTCATAATTTTTAGAGTTGAATCTAAAATATTACGTTGAATAGGAACCCCACAGACTACGTCTCACAAATTTAAAAAACTTATTGGAAAGAAGCGCCACTCATCATTTGCCATAAATGCAAATAAAAAATGTTTTAACTAACCTGTAGAGAAACAGTAAGAAGTTTATTTTGCGCTTCTTGGGAGTATTCATTTTTTGCTAACGAAATAGCATTATTTACTATATTTCTTAAATTGTTTCTCTCTATCCACGGATCTTCCTCCATAGCTTGATAGACGACAGAAAATGCGGTAATATGTTCCAACGGGGATGTAATAAGAAAATCAAAAATTTTTCCCGCTAATCCGCTAGACATTTTTACGTAGTTGAAAGGTTAGATGTTTAATGTGAAAAACAGAGTTTTAGAAAAACGGTACGATAACAATCACTGAAAGCGACGAACAACCACAACGCAGATATACTGCCCTTTTAAAACGCTTCCTCCGCTCATTTCTGATTTCATTTAGATACGGAATAGTAGCCATTGTCCTGCAATAGATCTAGGGAATGTGAAACTGGAGCGATGCAAGCACAACGAAACCTTTTTCCAATCAGCAGGTTACACGATTACATCATGCATGAAAAAGTTCCACGACCTTCTGTCTGTGTTACGCTTATTTCGGAAATTTGGCCACAGTAAACAGTCGTATGGTTACATCATGCATGAAAAGTTCCATGACCTTCGATTTTATTCTGTGGTATAGTATGTGATATGTATTACGACATATGGACATATGGCACTGATCGATTATTTGTATTACGCAATCAAATTTTCAGGTATGTCGGCAACAACCAAACATTTGGGTAAATTTATTACTTTTTCAAACAAAGTTCTGCATAGCGGGACAAGGTCTAACCCCCCTCTTCATTTATAGGTTCTTTATAAAGCTGACTATCTCCAACATCAGGCATACTAAGATTACTGTCACTCCGTGATGTAGATGTATTAAGTTTTGAGATCATATTTGCTAACTCAGATGAAGATGAGTATGTCGCATTATTTAAATTTCCGCCCACATTATTTGTGTTATTGCTTGAATTTCCACTCGCATTATTTGTGTTATTCGCATTATCTCGATTGGTAGTTTCGTCTCTTCTGCTGGGAGTTCTTCGGGTTGGAGATGCGGACCGATCTCTTTGACT